CAATAGGTGGACACAATGGAGAAAAAGGATTCATGTAGCCAACACCACTTCTGGGATAAAGGCTTATTGTAGTTGTTGTTTTTGTTGTAGTTATTTCCTTGTTATTGACTTTGGCTATTGCAAAATAATGTTTCAATATACTAATAAAAATATGCTCTTGGTCTCTTAGGTGTAACTGTTTTTCTATGGTGCAAAGATATCAACAAAATTTTTGACGCTCATAATGTTGCAAATGAAGAATATTGTTTGAGGATGTTTCATGTTGTCATAGTTTGATTGGTAAATTGATTTTACTTGATGTCACCAAATTTTATTTTATTTTGTTTTTTATTTTGAAAGTCAACACATGCAAAATCCTAAGTAAAAATATTGGGAAGTTGTTTTCCATATTCTTAGTGTATATTAAGAGATTTTTAGAGAAAAGACTTCTTTACATTTTCAACATTCCATCTCATTCTGGAAGTATTCTTTGATATTTTAGAGAAGTTGTTTTCCATTTTCAACATTCCATGCCCCGTATATATTCTAATGGATCCCTAACATATCTCATTGTCTGAGAAGGCCATTGAAGTGTTTTTTATTTTCTTAACTTTTTTTTTATTTTCAATTTTGTTTGACACATGTTGGTGCTAGTTTTGATGCAGTTTAATATTTGATTGACATTTATTGGACGTTGCATGCACTTTTGAGGTTTTTTGTGCATCATAATTTTTTTTTATGGGAGGGGTGAGCATTAAAGTGCCATTTGTTGAAATTATATTGCTAATAGGTTTGAGTGTAGATCAACTTTGAGGTGTAAAAGCTCCAAGCCACTTTGCCAGGCATGTACTATGCATCTGAATTCACATTATTGATTTTTCTCCATTGTTGTCAAAATTGTATCTATGGTAGTTTGCATTTTTGCCAATTTTAATGTATGGCTGTTAACTTTATTCTCTTTGGAGCTTATAAGAACTAACAATTTTTGCTATGTTTTTGTGGAAAACCTACGATTGGCTATTTTGAAAGATTTTTGTATAGCTCATTGATGGTACTGCGTGTGTCTTTTCATTTAACCGATTTGTTCTGATTTCATCCTTACTAATGTAGTGTACTCTGATAAACTGCATTAATTCATGTTCAACATTATTCTTATTGGTAATTTGGTGTTCATTAAGACCTTACAAAGAGGGAAACATTCATATGGATGTTTTTATTTTCCGAAAATAAGAGAGTTAAATATGTATGGTCATCTTAAATTTCTTCCTTATATATTACACTATTATTCTTTGAGAAGAAATATTTTCAATATAAAAATCATACTTCGTAGTATAGGTTAGTCCCTTTAGGTTTTGACTCAAAAAAGTGCAACCAATTGCCCCAAACTAATCCTAGCCACATAGTTCGGTGTGGCTCAATTTTGTATTGAAATATTACTTATATTTCATTTTTGCTACTAGTAATTTTTAATTGAACGTGTGGTTTATTTTCTATTAGGCTCTTATGATCATTGTTCTTTGTCATATATGAACTGTAAAAGTTTTGTTGTAAAATATCAATATCTTGAACTATTTTTAATTCAAGACTACTAAGTTGTCTAATTTAATATTTGACTCTTCAAATCTGATCCAATGTAGTTCCTTGTCTTTTCAAAATACAACAACAACAACAACAACAAAGCCTTAATCCCACTACATGGGGTCGGCTACATGAATCCTTTTTCTCCATTGCGTCCTATTTAGTGTCATATTTTCATTTAGTTCTAGTAAATTAAGATCATTTTTAATACAATAAGCCCAAGTCTTCCTAGGTCTACCTCTGCCTTTCTTAACACAAGTCGAATTAAAACATCTAATCTCCTAATCGGATCACTCTAATGGTCGACGTTTAATATGACCAAACCATCTAAGACGACTTTCTCTAATTTTGTCTGTCACAGGAGCTACACCAACCCTATCACGAATATATTCATTCCGCATTTTGTCTCTAAGTGTAAAGCCACTCATCCACCTAATCATTCTCATCTCGGCAACACTTAACTTATTATTATGCTTCTCTTTTAAAGGCCAACATTCAGCGCCATAGAGCATTGCAGGTCTCACCACCGTCTTATAAAATTTTCCTTTCAGTCTTAGCGGTACTTTTCTATCACACAAAAGGCCCGAAGCATTCCTCCACTTCAACCAACCAACTTGAATTCTACTATTAACATCCCCATCTATATCACCATCGCTTTGAACAACGGACCCAAGAATCTAAATCGTTCACACCTTTTAATAATTTGATCAAACCAACTTATTAAACCAAATAACAATGAAAAAATAAATATTATTACCAACTTCCAATAGAAAATTACAACAAACAAACATAAATCTGAAATTGCAACAAACAACAACACAAATTCACCCTAGGATTAGATCCAGAGGTGGTAGTGGTCAGCTCCAATGTAGACCTCCATAATTCAAGTTTTTCCTGGGTTTTTTCTCTCGTTTTATCCACGAGAAGAATATCATCAGCAAAAAGCATACACCAAGGTACATCCTCTTGTAGATTTCCAGTAAGACCATCCATAGCTAAAGCAAAAAGATATGGGCTTAAAGTCGATCCCTGATGTAATCCAACAGAAATAGTAAAATATTTTGTCAATCCTCCTTCAGTTTGAACACAAGTAACAGCTCTAGTATACATATCTTTAATGACTTGAATATAAGTCATATCAACACATTTCTTCTCGAGAACTCTCCAAAGGATATCTCTTGGAACCTTATCGTAAGCTTTTTCTAAATCAATAAAAATCAAATGTAGATTCTCCTTATTATCTCTGAACTTCTCCATCAAACCTCTCAATAAATGTATAGCTTCCATAGTAGACCTGCCCGACATAAATCCAAATTGATTATGAGAAATTTTTGTGATGCGTCGTAACCTATGTTCAATTACCCTCTCCCATAATTTTAAAGTATGACACATCAACTTAATTCCTCTATAATTTGCACTCTTGTGCATCCCCTTTCTTCTTAAAATTGGGGACCAAAATACTCTTCCTCCACTCCTCAGACATCTTTTTAGTTTTTAAAATAATATTAAAGAGTTTAGTAAGCCAAGAAACTCCCAAATCTCCCAAATATTTCCACACTTCAATTAGGATATCATCAGGCCCTACAGACTTTCCACCCTTGGTTTTCTCTAAAGCCTCCTCAACTTCTTTTTTGCTAATGCGACGGTAAACAATGAAACGTTTTATTATTACTCATGATATTAAAATCACTAAGGTCGATCGTATTTTCAGAAACTTCATTAAAAAATTTATCAAAGTAACTCACCCACCTATGTTGAATATCTTTTTCTAAGAAAAGTACTTTTTGATTTTCATCTTTAATACACTTTACTTGAGTTAAATCTTTACTTTTCTTTTCTCTTTGTTTGGCTAGTTTATACATATATTTTTCACCCCCTTAGTATCTAATCTTTGATTCTCCAAGAACATTTTTTGCTACATGTTTAATAGCGTTTGTTACTTTATCCCACATCACATTTGCTTCTTCATGAATATCCCAAATTTTGAAATCTTGAATTTTACTCATAAAATTAATTTTATTTGTATCTCTTAAGTTTTTTCATCTAATTCTGTTATGATGAGTCATAGTATTTTTTATTTTACAACTCTTAATCTTAAAATCTAAAACTAATAAACGATGTTGTGTATTTAAATTTTCACTTGGAATGACTTTACAATCTTTACAATCACGACGATCTTTTCTTCTCATAAGAAAATAGTCAATTTGTGATTTATTAGATCCACTTTTATAAGTAATAAGATGTTCATCCCTTTTCTTGAATAAAGTATTAGTAATAACAAAATCAAATGCTAAAGCAAAATCTAAAATAGCTTTACCTTCTTCATTAGTTACTCCAAAACCGTAGCCACCATGAATATTTCTGAAATCTTCTACCACTCTACCGATATGTCCATTTAAATCTCCTCCAATAAAAATTCTTTCTTCAAGAGGTATCATTTGTATTAAGTCTTCTAAGTCATTCCAAAATTTATCTTTAGACTCTGTATCTAAACCTACTTGAGGAGCATAAGCACTTATAATATTAAAAATCTTAGTATCAATGATAATCTTAAGTGTTATAATTTTATCACCAACTCTATTAATTTTTACAACATTATCTTTCAAACTCTTATCTATAATTACACCTACACCATTTCTAGTGCGACTCTTACCAGAATACCAAAGTTTAAAATCTAAATTATCAATCTCCTTAGCCTTTTCTCCAACTTACTTAGTTTCTTGAATACATAAGATATTAATTTTCCTATGAATCATAATATCAACTAGTTCCATTAATTTACCATTGAGAGTGCCTATATTCCAAGATCCTATTCTAATATTAGTTTCATTAGTTTCATGAACTAACTTCTTTACCCGCATTCGCCCGTAATGTGGGAACCCTTGCTTATTTAACACTACACCCGGGCGCCGGTGTAGCGGCTCTTGCACACTTTTCACTGTATTCAGGCTATACAGCGCGTCGCTTCCAGGGGACGCCCTAGCACTCACACAATGATCAAAAGAATTCATGTCATGATTTTTTTTCGACAAGTTTTACGCTGGCAGTCGACTACCTAACGCAACCCTCCACTTTTCTCATTCGGGCTTGGGACCGGCAACGACACTTTTCGACACTTGTCTTTTCAAAATAGATTAAAAATAATTAATTACAGGGATTTTTTTTTGGCCATATTTGAGGAGTCGAGATGAAATTGAATACATTAGATAGCTTCGACTAAAATGCTCTCATATAAATAATTCAAACATCATTTTGAATTTTTTTCTCAGTAATTTTGATTTGAGCTGCTGTAACCAATGAAATTTGTGTGTTTTTTTTTTTTGCCTGAATGAAGTTGATTCCTAATTGATAAAAGCTAGAAAATGAATCTCTAGTTGATCATTATGAATTATAGACATCATGAGTGACATTAGCTGCATTTTTTCCTTGTTCGTTGCATGCAGGGATTTCAAAACAAAGGCTTTAGCAGATAAGGTGACAATTCCTTCTCAAGGTTATTTGGTACGCTTCTTTTTCTTTTTTCTCTTTTCTTCTCTCTTCTACTAAATATTGCTAATTACCTTGAAAACAATAAATTTTTTTTTAAATTTCTGATGCAGAGGTCTGATGTTGGCGTTGTTAGATTAGATCTGAATGTTCAACTGGCCAAAAAAAATGCTGTTATTCAGGCACAGAGCGAAGGATGCCTGGGAAATTTTAGAAGCTTTGATTCACCATTTGGGAACCATCTTGTGCCCGTAATCCCTACTAAAGCTGACCTACTCAGTTAACACGATGTCTAATTAAAGATAGCAGGAACTGGCGCAGGTCTTTGTTGGAATTATCTTTGTCACACTTGCTTACATAAGCCTAAGGGCACTTACCTTTGTGATTTAGCTATTTTATTATATAACAGATTTTCCATCAGATGGCCATTTATACCTTTCATCTATTTAGTAATTGGAATGTGCTTTGTGGGTGTGGAGTGACTCACTTGAGATAGAATTGTTCTTCCATAATCAGAATGAATTAAGCTGATTCCTGATGTTCATTGTAATTTTCTCCATATTATAAGCAGCTCTGATTTTAGTAGTAATATTTCACTAAGCTCTTATGTTCCTTGATGGTTCCTGACTCCCCTATCCGGGAAGATTTGTGATGATTCCTACAATGAAGAAAAAGCACAAAAAATATGTTTGTTCGTCTCTAAATATGCCAGGATGGACACTTTTTGCATTATGTACATTTTTTTGTCCAGAAAGTATCTTATTGTTCATCCTTACCCTCAACATTTAAGTTTGTTCTTACACAAAAAGGTCCAACGTAGGTTTCTTTAGCAATTTGTTTGGATGTCATTTACCTCGTTTTTCATTTGTGATGGACTCATTTTCCAATGGTTTCACTTTTTTGCGCTTTAAAAAATTTGACATATCACCGTTTAAAATTGTTTTCATGCAACGGAGAGTGTTCTATTCCACGTCTTGCTGTGAAAGACAAGATCGAACGAAGCCATAGCGGCGTATGATATATATGCTTCTGTTTTGAAGTATGGTTCCTAAATAAACACGTTTGTGATGTCCTAATTGATATTAGCTGTATTGCACGTCAGTTTTATTTTTATTTTTTTCCAACTTTTAAAGATACAATATTATATATTGACTCTATTCATAGAGCAGCCATATTGCTGCATTTTTATTTTTATTTTTCTTATAGTGGGTTTTCCTGAAATTTATTCTCATTTTGTTTTTTTAATTACCTCATGGTTCCTATTTTGAGTACCTTTTAATCGGTCTTTAATTTATTATAAAAGTCTTATGTTCGTTAATTTATGATAGAAGCCTTATGTTGGATATTTCGACTCATAGAAACCGCCTTTTCGCAAATGTTGAAATAAGACCATTCACAACCTCCCATTCCCAACACCTTTTATTAGTGGAAATTCAATGCATTAAGTGCACGGAAAAAATTTGCGTACGATAGACGTACGGAGCGCTGTGTACGATTTCTCGGTATACCGAGGATATAACAGGGTTATATCCACGGTATAACCCATTGTAACATTTATATAACATTCTGTAACTTATTTGTAACCTACTATATATGATAACAGAAGCGCAAAACTTATTTGTAAGTTACAAGTAGGTTACACTAGGTTGCATAGAGGTTACAAGGGGTTATAACACGGGTATAACCCCCTTATACCCTCCTTGTAACCTCGAAATCGCACGCAGCGCTGCGTACGTCTATTGTATGCAAATTTTTTCCGTGCAGTTGCTAGTTTTGTGCGCTGCACATTCGAAATTGTTAGTTTTGCTAGTTTGGTTTTGGCTGATGAATCCGGATTCAATATATTCTAATAAAATATTGGTTGAACATCTCTTAGGGATGTCAATTGTGAGTGCTACTGCCAACAAATTAGAGCTTTCTCTCCGCTTCTAAGTGGAAAACACTGTTCTTTTTGTTATGTTACACTCACTTGAAACTGGCAAACCGTTTTCTTTTTTGGAAATGTATTTTTTTCTTACGTATAATTTGACTTCATTGTATAGATGCTTGTGTTTATGCAATGCCATTTACTTCTTAGGAGCTTATGTTTAAACAGAATACTAAAATTTTTTCTTCTCTAGGATTCTCTTTGGTTCTTCGCGCGCTAGTTTGCATTGCATATAAAAAAAAAATTCTTTTGGAGTCTGGTTCATAGTTCTTTTTTTTGTAATTATTTTTATTAGCTTATTGAGAACTCACTTTTGCTGAAATTGCATTGTAACTTTGTATTTTTAATGTATATATGACTGAGAGAAATTAGGAAGGAAAAGAGACTGAACATGGCTTTAGTTTCATTCGGCTCTATATTTCTTGTGCTCAACCTTTTTTTTTTAATTGTTTTTCTTATTTTGGAATATTTGTATAACAATTTTTCATTTTGTAAATTCACATTCTTGCTTTAGCTTATTATGGATCACAATGGTAAGTTGATCTAATAAGATATGAACTCATACCTTGTTTACTGTACTGCTGCTGAAATCGCATCAGGCTCGCTAAATATAGAAAGATTGATTTTTCACCACCTATTTAATACAAATATGCAATGCCTATTCGTTGTTAGATGCCCACCATCATTACTGCACTTCATACTTTACATAGAAATGTTTCATTTCTTTGGCATACGTTAAAATGCATTATAAATGGTTTAAAATTTTTATATACCACAGATTTAAATTGTAGCATTAAAAGATAAAAAAAAATTCAGCATATTTAAATTTAAATCATAATATATGTCATTCAATATTTGCTTTTATTTGGGAACTTTGACTCAATGTGCTAATTCCAAAGTATATTAATTGAATCTTGTTTAAATATTAAATGCATAAAATTATTTTGGTAATTTACATAGCATCCAACTGTTATGTATTTATATACGTCATACCTAATTTGATTTTTATAAGTTAAGCACATTTCCCTGGTTTGAAAAGATATATGAAAATGTCGATAACACTTTTTTCGTAGGTAAGGTGCTTTAGATGTAAACATTAAAGTTTAGGCATGAGATAAGTAGATGCATAAGAATTGGGTGGCATGTATGTAACTTTCCTTAGTTATGTTATTAGACCAAGTTTGAATTAAGTGTAATGATTTCCTAAGCATGCGTTTGTCATCTACGGTTGCTTTGTCAGTGTTCATTACCTCATCCTTTTGCGATTGGTTTCTCAAAGGTTATTTCCTTTAAGGTGTCTGGTGTTAATCTCTCCTCTTGTAGTTGGGTGGCTTCCTCCCATAGTTGAAGTTGCTCGACTCCATGCCTCTATTTTTCCATCTCACCTCTATTTTTCCTCGTTGTCCCATTCTTCATGAATCTCCTTTTCAAACGAGGTGGCTTTTCTTGGAATATCTCCTCACATGACACCTTCCTTTTTTTTTTCTCCTTGATAAAGTCTCTTCCCACTTTATCCACTTCTAAAGTTGATTCTATTGAGAGTATGACCTCATTTGCCATCCCAAGTTATGTATGCAATAACTTTAGCTACAATTATTATAGGGAATGCGAGATGATTATGTAGTATTAGTTTTATTATGGTAAATTTGCTAAATGTTTTGTTAACACTGGTATTATAGTTCGTGTAGCTGACTGGTTAGTAAAAGTTGGAGCCGTTCTATGTCCTGTAATTTAGATAATGTTCTTTCTTTTGATCTTAAACTTTTACTTCATGGGTATAGCATTGAACTTGCTTTTGTCAAAGGATAATCATTTTCTTTGTATTTTGTTTTTTGTTGGAATGACAAGGGTCTTTCTTCTTTTTTTAAAAAATTATTGTAGTTCTGGTAATATGAGTACTTACAATTACGAACAAATGAATGATAGCTCTATTTCTCTTCCTTGTTTGTTAGTCTTTTCTCTCTCTTCTTCTTAAAGTTTGAGCAAGCTAAAATTGCCTTCTTATCTTAACCCCTTTCTATTCATGTTTATTTTTATTAGAAGATTCATACCAAAGTTATCATTTTGAGACTTTTTCGATAGTGGCTTGTAATGCTTGGCACTCAACTATCCTTTAATAGTTGATCTCTCATGTTTTGAAGTTGCTTGCATGCTTGAATTATTAGTTATTATTGCTCATATTTGCCTCTTTTAGCTTGGCTATTTTATGATCCATCTTTTCCCCTTTCACTTGTTTTTCATTGATTTTCATGAATAGTCTTGAATTTCAACGAGGATGTTGCCTTCTATTCGAAAATATTCCTATCATACTTCAGATGCTTGCTCTTCTTTAGGTGAAAATTAAAGTTGAAGCATATTCTATTGCCAAAATTCCTATTGGTATTCACCCACTGATTCAGTGATGCTTAAAACTATTATAGGTTGGTCTATTCCAAGAACTATCTAGTCTTCTTTCTTCTCTCAAGCTTCTGTTACCAATGTTAAATGGTTGTGGAATGCTATACTCAAACCTTCCATGTCCTTCTTGAATTAGAGGTTTTTGCATGACTTCCTACATAGTGATGATATCCTTAATCTCAAAGAGATACGCTTGCCCTCCTTTTTCCATCTCTATAAGGCTGAGGAGGTATCTACTACTCACTTCTTTTTTTCATGTAGGTTGGATTCTTTTGTATGGAAAAAAATTGCTTATTTGCTAGATCTTGTTATTCTTGTTGGGGCTTTCCAGAACCTGATTATGATTATGCAAGCTTGGTCTCACCTCTCCAATCCTATACTTGGCTCTCTTTCTTGTGTTATTTGTTGGTTTTTATGGACTACTAGAAACAATGTTAAACATAAGTTTTAGGTGGAAAGTCAGAGTTATACTGTGTGCAACATTCTTACTTACCTCTTTAAGATTGTCAGGTTCTCTAATGTCAAAGCTCACTCTTTGGATGTCATAGCCAATAAGCTAAATATTTCCAAACCTGTACACAAAGCAAGGAGGACTATATTCCTACACTAATTTACTAGATCAAGCTTGATAAGCCTTAGGTTAAAATTAATGTTTATGGGAGATTTATTAAGATTGCAGGCTTGGGGGTCATCTACATGGATTGTACTGGTAAATTGTTATTTTGGTTCTCTTCTCCATCTACTGCTAATTCATCTCGTTCTGTTAAAGCTGAAGCTACACTTTTTGCCCTTAAATTTGCCAAAGTTGTTGGATGGATGTTGTTGGTTGCTGAGATGGATTCTCCAATTTTATGGAAATGTCTCTTAGGTCTCTCTTCCATTCTTTGGTAAATCAAATCCATTTTGAATGAGATTGTTTATGTTAGTAGGAGCTGTCAAATCATGCGGACTAATATTGTTAGAGAAGCTAACATACTTGTTGATTGGCTTGCCAAAGCTGATATCTTTTCTGGGAAACCTTTTTGTAGTCTTTCTCCTATTAGTTTGGTTGTTTTGATGAGGGTAGGTAAAAAAGACTTCGACTTGAGGTATGCAGCTAACCATTTCCTGCCAAGTGGGTGAATCACACCTTAACAACCACTTTTAATGGGTAGGATCGAGAGCAATACTTTGTTGTCATGGATTTAGTCCATAAGGAGTCAATTTTTTTCTGAATTTCATCCAAAGTTACATGAAGTTAATTTTCATAGAATCATTGACTAGTCTGAAACCAAATCCACCTTGACTCACGAGTTTGTAGGTTTGTTTCTAGCTAGTTCAACAAAATT